GTTGAACTCCATTGTCATCCCGACTAATATCTCAGGTCCCTCGAGGGACCTCTGAAGTTGGGATGGCCCCTCAAAGTTGTCTTGAATTGAGGCTAGCTCAGGCCTCCATAGCCCCACATCAAGCAATCATTGGAGGTCTGTTACCCTAGGAAGAGGCATGACTCTTAGGTGAATGGCTCTTTTTGGCCAGGGACAATTTCCAGGGAAGGACTCAGCAGAGAGCTATCAACCACCACTCCCAGCAGCTGTGGGAATGAGAATGAGAACCCCAGTAGTGAACAGGTTGTGGGGAATAATGCGGATCTGTGAGGCACATCACAGCATCCACTACAGATAACAAAAAGGAACAATAAATCATTTAAAGAAGGTTCTGTCTTAATTCCAAATTTAAATGTACTTGAAACTACGAAAGAGTAAAATTCTAGCAAGAAAACAAAGTGACAGCTTTAAATGCCAGTTGCCAGAATTATGGTAACTTTTGATGGTGAGAGAGAAGCAATAAACTTAAAGAAAAAAACCTAGAGGTAATGAGGGGGATTCAGTCAATACTCATTCTAAGAGATGTTATTTTCCTGCTGTAAGTCAGAAAAGTCTATAAACTTAGTCCCACTGCATTTTACCCCAAATCATTCTTAGTCAATCATACATCAATCATACAAAATACTATCACACGCATTTTGCTATTAACGCTCACAATAATCCCATTAAGTTAGATAGCTTACTCAAAATCATTAAGTGACAGTGTGTTTTTGAGCTAGTGGCTTAAGGTTTGTGATGACAAGGACAATGTCTTTATTATACACGGAGGTAATACTAATGCTTGTCACAGTGCCTGAAGCAATTGCACACAATAAATAACTGTTGAATAAATTTCTGAGAGATTTATAGTTTCTCTGTGTTATTTGTGCTTTTTATGGTACCACATCATACATATGCATATATGTAGAACCTGTGTGTGTGTGTGTGTATGCACGTGCACTCATACAGGATACATGGTATATGTAGCTGAATAAATCACCCCAAGTTTATCCATAAAATAGAACTAATATATACGTTATGAGCGGTTTGAGTAGGAATACTAGAAATATTTGGACTCAGCTGATTTTTAGTCTTTATTCTCTTGGTCAGTTTGGATAGGCGTTAACCTGGATTTAGAAAATCAGAAGGGAGGAAAATAGGTCTCCTTGATCAATCAAAGTCTCTGACGTTTTTGGCAGAAAATTACATTCCAAAGAGTATTTTGAAAAATTGCTTAATGCTAGACTAGAAGGGGAAAATAAAAGCATAGGGAAGTCTGAATTTTTAATGTGTTTCTAGACTTACGGCACTGAATAACTTTACAGACATGAAAGGTGGCTCATAAGCTTTCCTTCTGACTATGGTAATAATAATAACAATAATAATTCATGTAATGTAAACTATAATATTAAGCTGAGATACATTCTGGTAATTTGTATATAATTATATGAACTGTCTCTTCAAAGCCGACAAAAAATTAATATAGAACACCTGATATTTGACTGTCTTCCAGATGGAGGGACAGCTTGAAAAATGCCATAATAATTTAGAACTTGTAGAAAGTGGTGTGAATGCATTTGCAGTTAGCTTTAAACAGCTTGGATTATTTACAGGTACAACTGTGTTTAATGTGGGATTTCAGTGGATTTAAAATATTATTAGATTCAATTGCTGATAATAGAGTATAGGTGAACAATGTGATTAGATGCCTTAATTAAATATCTCGGAACAGAATGCATCTGTTTGGTGAGGTTGGGGGAGATGGTAAAATAGCATTTAAATTCTGTATTTAATTATTGAGTGTCACTGAAGAACCTCTTACATTTGTAAAGACATTGTATTGGGGGTTTATCTTCTATGGTGTTTAGGAGAATAATAATCACAGAAAACAAATATGGAAATACAGTGTCTAGCTCTTAAGGATAACTTGAACACTTGTACTCATAAAACAACTAAAGTATGGATTGATAAGATTTATATTAGAGTGCAACCTAAAAGAACACATGAGTCCATATCTCTGGAGGTTAAGAAATTGACATTGAGTCTTTCTGGTTAAATTGGAGAAGGAACCATATACATTATAATTTTATATCATGTTATATATACATTACACATGTATATATACATATACATGTATATCCTTTTACTCTTCTATCAGTCCTAGGCTAGAAACTGAATATCCAGTAGACAACCAAGCCAGACATGTGCCCTCTCTTCCTGGAGCTTACATTCTAAAGGGGAGACAAGTATTAAAAACTCTCCCTCAAATAAGTATGCAAATAAAATCTGACAGGGCTATAAAGAAAAAATAAGGTGTTATGAGAAAGTACAACATAGACAGAATGGGTCTAATTTTGTTGGTGTGGGGGTGCCTCAAGGAAGGCTTCTCTGAGAATGCTAAAGAATGAGTAGAATGGGGGGCCGGCCGAATGGCGCGATTGTTAAGAGCTGGCTTGGGACGCCAGAGGGCCCCGGTTCGGATCCCACATATGAGGGCCAGTGACACTGCCCTCTACAGCTAAGATGCTGAACAACAGCTCAACCTGGAGCTGGGCTGCCGTGAGTCACCTGCGACGGAATAGGCTGCAGCCCCTGCTGCAGTGGGTTGCCATGGGCTACCTTTTTTAGCCAACAGCCAGCGTGAGCGGCTAGAAGCTGCCGTGCGCGGTCGTCCAGAAGCCGGCGACTGATCTGCCTCACCCGGGAAGAGCGCAGTGATGGTGCCAACTTGGGCCAAGTGAAGCAACGTCCTCCACAACTAGACTGAAGAACAAAAGGACAGCAACTTGTCTGTTCCCCTTACCCCAATTCCCCAGCGCAGTTCCCATTCCCCCAATTCCCCAATAAAAATCTTAAAAAAAAAAAAAAAGAATGAGTAGAATGGGAAGAGTGCTCCAAGGGAGAAAAATGGTTGGAGGATAGAAAGATTACTTTGTGGTTGGAACATACTAGTCATGGCAAGAGGGGCCTTTGGAGAGGTTGTAGAAGGAGGAAAAGGCAGGTTATTCAGAGGCCAACATGGAGTTTATATTTTATTCTGATTGTAATGGGAACCATTGAAGGATTTATGAGTGTGTGCGTGCGTGTGTGTGTGTGTGTGTGTGTGTGTGTGTGTGTGTTTTGAGTCAATTTAATACTTTTTAAAGCTCAATCTGGAGGGGAGAGGGGTAAGAGTTGAAGCTGTAATATCAGCAGCTTGGACCTTAGTGGATGCAATGAAGATGGAGAAATGAAGAAATATTCCAAGATCTATTTAGGAAGTTGAATCCTGAGAGCTTTGGGACAGATTAAATGTGGGAGAAAAAGGGGTTCAAGAATGATTCCAAGGTTTCTATGTAACTTTCTAGTGTTTCTTAATAATACTATTTGAGTTAAGTGTTGACTCTGAGAAGAATTATATGAAGCCAGACAATTAAGTCTGCAAACTCATCCTAGAAAAATACCTCATTGCTGACTATCATTACGGTCACCTTCGAAGTACTCCCCTTAGGAAGCTATGCACTGATGCCAGCGCCTATTCCACCCTTCAAAACAATTTGGGATCTCTTTCTGGAATGGCCATCAGAGCTGTTGTATTACCCTTGATGTCCTGAATGTTATCAAAATGTCTTCCTTTCAATATTTCCTTTATCTTCGGGTAAAGAAAGAAGTCATTGAGGACCAGATCAGGTGAGCACGGATGGTGTTCCAACACAGTTATTTGTTACTGGCTAAAAACTCCCTCACAGACAATGTAATGTGAGCTGGTGCATCGTCGCGATGTAAGAGCCATGAATTGTTGGAGAAAAGTTCAGGTCATCTAACTTTTTCACACAGCCTTTTCAGCACTTCCAAATAGTAAACTTGGTTAACTGTTTGTCCAGTTGGTACAAATTCATAATGAATAACCCCTCTGATATCAAAAAAGGTTAGCAACATTGTTGCAACAAGTTCGCAAACTTGTCAGTCCTTGTACATGCCAAGAAAGGCTCTTTGGTTAACTGGCTCAAATTCATAATCAGAGTCTCGCAGCCCTTGCTGATAAGACCCTCTCACATAGGCTGCATAACAAGGTAGGGCCACAGATTCAGCTGCCAAACCTCCTGCACCTTGTCCCTGATGGCTGACCCAACCCTTATAAAGAAGTTCCTGGAATCATTTTTGACCAATAGGCTGAGACCTGCCCCATCTATTTGAACCTGTACAACCATATCCTCATTTGCATCTTTACTGACAAGAGTGGCTCCATGATGACCAATAAGGACAGTGCTATTTGGACAAAACTGTGAAATTTGTAGTCCTTATTTGCATGAAAATGGACCAACTCGGGGACCAGGGTGGGTACTTTCTCTATATAAAGTGGCATCCCCTTTATCTTGGGGAGGGCACTTAACAGTTTCCTCCTGAGGCTGTTTCCCAGCTTTATAAACTGTTCATCTGAATAGTTTCTCCTTTTAGTACACTCTAGATAGTCGACTCCTGTTGGTATTGGCTTGGTGGCAGTAACCAATGGCTGACACAAGAAAAAATGTACCTACTTTCTAGTAAATTCCAGGTTCTGGAAGGTAACCTGATGGTTTGCTTAGAGAAGTCTTCCCTGACCACCCAAGCTATTGAGCACCCACACTCTATTATTCTGTCCTATTCCTGTTTTATCTTCCAAGCAGGAATCACACTCTGTTATTACTTTGTTTACTTGCTTACTCTGAATATTATCTCCATTAAAGTGATGTGTCTATATCCAAAGCACCTAATACAATGTTTGGCACATTGAAAATGTTCAGTAAATACTTGTTGAATGAAGTGATGAAGGAACAAAAGAAAGAATAACAATAAAGAGGAAATACTTGAATCCAAAGTGCTCACAAGCTAGTCAAGAGCATTAAGAAGTATGATCAAAAAGCCTTAATAGAAGTAAGGAGGAAGTGTTATGGGAGAAGGGTGAGTGGTGCATCTATATCTAACTGGGGAAGAAGGAAAGTCTGGAGTACAGATATACTTACAGATGAGGTGAATATTTTCTGGCTTGAGACCACCTGTAAATGAAATGCCTCCCATGCCGCACGCAAGCTCTAGAACAAAACATAAAGAACAAGTCTTCAAAAGAGCTTCACATTTTAGAATATTTTTTTTTTAAAGAGCCATGAGAATGGATTGTTCTGCAAAGAACACAACCTTGATTTTTGTACCATCTGCAGCACCTACTACTTGTCTCTCCTGGCTTGCAGGATTTATTGCTGGCCGGGCTTCCTCACATCCTTTTTCCATGCCTCCAGGGATTGTCAACTCTCAGAAGACCCGCGCCCCGGCCTTCTCCACCTCAGTACAGGGCCTTGCCAGCCTATTTGTTGGATGGGATGGAGGAACATTTACTACCTTATCCCTGAAGAGTTCCTGAAATGCAATGTTTCTGCTCCTCGCGGGGCTCTTGCGGAAGGAAAGAAAAGGAACAATTTATTACTTAGAGCGCGGACTATTTCTACCTTTAATCCGTGGGCTGTCGTATCTGGTCCTCGCCTACCTAGATCAGCCTTTAACGGTTTCTAGAGCAAAGACCAATTCCCAGAGCGAGCATTCTCTCCCACCCTTCCTTCCGCCTGCAAAAGAAAAACAAGCTGTCAACGTAGGGGTAGGGAAGCGGACAGGCGACCAAAGGCTGCTTGCTCTCCTTCTGGGCAGCTCAGCGGGCTGAAGCGGGCGCCAGAGCCGCGGGGCGGAGCGCCAGCCCTGCCCTCGGGGCGTGGCCTCACAGCTCGCCCCGCCCTCGCCCCGGGCGTCACCGCCCGCCCGCCCCGCCCCCGCGCAGCTCGCCCTGGGCTTGCTATTTCCACTCGCGCTTCTGCCCGCTGTCGCTTGGGTCTCAGACTGAAGCCTGAGGACGCACGGAGGGTCTGTCTCTAGGGGACTCCGGACTGTAGGCACTGCCATGGCCCCTGTGCTTAGCAAGGACACGGCGGACATCGAGGTACCGACTGCGCGCTGGCTCTCCGGAGGCGGGTGGGGGTGGGGGGTCCCAGCTGGGGGGCGGGGGCTGGGAAGGCCCCGTGGCCACCGCCGCGCCGGGGGAAGCGTGGGAGACAGGGAAACTTGGCCTCCGCGGGAGGTCTGCGGGGTGGCGGGACCGCCAGAGCCCCGCTCCGGTGGGCGTGCGGGCGGGCGGGGACGCAGTGGAGGAGCGCCAAGGCTGGAGCGGGTGCCCTTGGGCTGGGGCTGGGCTGTTTACTTCGGAGGGGACTAAGGAAGCGTGTCCTGCCCTGCTCTGACTTGGCGGGACTGAAGAAGCACAAAAGTTGGAGAGAGGCGGAGCGCCCATTTCCCAGCCGGGTCTCTCCATACCTCCCCTTCCGCCAGTTGTATGCGTTTCGGGACACCTGTGTGCTGCCCCCACCTCCATTGCCTGAATCCTGAATATTTGCCAAAGTGGAGCATGTACAGGAGATCTGTGCGTCACCGATTAGCCATAGTATTGCTTATAAAATAATTTGACACAGGGAAGAATGAAACAAAGTATTGAGAACATGAAACATGCAGTGCCGCCAGACAAACATAAATAAACCGTGTTTTTTCTCTTCTTACAACAGTTTTTTATTCTCTCTTGCAGTCTGTTTCTGTATAAATATTATCTTTCTTCCTGTGAATAAGGTCTTACCTGAAACGATCGCGTTCTCCCTAGGACCTTTATGTATGAAAGGAGAAGGATTTAATTATACACAGTGACTTTAGACATACTAGCCCATGTCAGCATGTCTGAGATAACTGGTTTTTAGTTTTTTTTTGTTGTTGTGTTTTGTTTGGGGTTTTTCTTTATTGCACTCTCCTACTCTGGTAAGATTTGTGTGTACATGTGTGTGTATGTGTTCTTTAGAAATGACAAAAATTTCCTTTCCTCAGTCCTTTCAGTAGCTCAAGTAAAAGTTTAAAAACCACCTGTTTGCAGAATAGCTGCTTTTGCCACATTTTGCCATGTCATTGGTTAGAACTTTGTGTCCTGTTTGGGGGTTGGTAGTAGTGTTTTCTCCAAACTCCATAGACTGGCTTGAAAAATCCGTGTTTGTAACAAGAGCAAAAGTATGTTATGTGGACCTCTCCAGTTAATTTATTTGTGGGGTTTTTTTGTGGATAATTTACTCTTTCATTTTAATCAATATGATACATTTAACCTAGTATTTACTTATGTATGCACAGGGTAAAAGATACTTCATTTATGTCATAATCCTTCTGGTCCTTGTTGCTGTGACTTAATCTAATCCTTTTTTTCCCCCTATGCAGTCAATAATAGCAACTTCTGACAGCAGCATTCAGGCAATACCGATTTCAGAAATACAAGTGTGAGAGGACAGGTGGCTTTTGACTTTTGAATTTCAGAATGGCATGTTATCTGCTTAACTGATTTCTTTCTCTGTACTCTCTTGCAGTTGTCTTTGAAATCAGTTCTTAACCACATTACATAAAGAAAAATAATGTCAGTGAAACATTAAGTGACTGGCTTAATGTCATATATTGTTTCAACCTAGACTGTTAAAGAAACCCAAGCCCTCATACGTACTCACCTCAATCTAATGTTAGTCTATGTGACCAGTCTGCCCGATACTACTTATAATCTAGAACAGTGGTTTTCAAGGTTTTCCAGCTTTTCTGTTGTTCATATATGCAACACACTTTAATCAGTAACATCTTTCATCACACATAGTACCTTACTTTTTCCTCAAAGCAATACCCGTGATTCATGAGTACCGTGAAAGAGTATGAAATCGTAAAATATAGTGCAGTGAGGAAAAATACATTAAGCTTAGAGGAACACATTCAAGCGTAGATGTCTTGACTCACAAATGTTCACTTTTGTTTGAAGAATCAGAATAAATTATGAAAGATCAGTTTTCTGTCCAATTTGAATGCATACATTGGATTTGCTTTCCTTGAATGAATTTATTAAACCTATTGTCTAGCGATTGATCTGATTGTGACCATTGCCTTAGTTTCAAATACATGGAGAAGGAAGTAATCTTTAAAAAAAATTTATCAGTATGAAACAGAATACATGTTCACTTGATAAATGGGAAAAGAACAGAAAGCGATGGTGACAACCCACTATAGTAGTGATTTAGTTTTCCCTGAAAGCTATCTACAGAACTTTAGGTTTCAGCGAAGCAGCCAGGAAATATCTTTGTTTCTGAGGAAAAAGGTTATTGAGGTATAAAAAGTTGCTTTGTGTGCTCACTCCATGATTTCTAGCCTCAATCCAACATCACATCAGGGTTGAAGGGTTGGGAGCATGAAAAAAAATCAGGTCACTAAACTCCAAAACTGGAATGTCCCTGGGCTGGAAGATAGGCATAGAACGGATGTATTAGTAGATAATAGATATTAGGCAGTAGACCTAGCTCATATTCTTGAAAGTTGTTTTCATGTAATAATGGGAGAAGTTGCAAGAGAGGTCACATTTTTTTCCAGGCTCTATATGGTTCAGAGCCAAGAATCTGGAGCTCACTGCCTGGGGTTAAGGTCTAGTTCACCCCTGTTTAGCCCTTGACTTTAGGCTAGTTACCAAGCTTCTCTAAGTCACATTTGCATAATATGTTAAGTAAGGAAAATAATGGAAAAGATAATTAACAAATGTCACAAGTTGACATTTTCTTGTCAGGAAAAAGGACAAATATGTTAAAAAATAAAAATATAAAAATATATCAGGAACATCAATGCCAATGAACTAATTAGTATTCTAAAGTTCATTAGCAGTATCTATATAGTTTGAAAAGTTACTTTGTAGATTCACATTTTGGATACAGCTGAATTTTATCAAAGATGACTTTTGAATATGAATTCTCCTGGGAAGGTTACAAAGAAGGTGAATATCAGACGTGGATCACTTTCCCTGACATCAGCAGTACTTTCACAGTATTTTATTTAATTTGAATTAATACCCAATATAGTATCTGCACATTTAAAAGCAAGTAAGCATGACTTTGGAAGACTTTGTTATCTTGTTCTCCACCACTGACGTAGGTTATTGAGAACAGACTATAAAAGTGCAGCTGAAGGAAAATGTGTGCAGCTTCAAGAAACTTTTAACTCTTAGAATACTAGTAATTTTGGTAAACATTTACAACCAAACTGGATTCCTACCTACCACTCTACTGCGTCCACAATCATAAGTCAAGTCCCTTGAATTACCAATTAGTATTAAGGGGTTATTAGCTCATTTCAAATTTACCCTGAATAATAATGGATTTCATTCCATTGTCCACAAAATTGCAATGCATTTGGAGTAAAATAAAAATGGTTTCTGAATTACTTATACAGCGGTTCATTTGAGGAGATAACTGAGAATGTTCTGTGTTTATTAATTAAGAAAATAAGGTAATAAAATGATAGATTTGGAAAATGGAGTATAATGGAAACAACTTAGAGGAAGTAAATTTTAAGGTGTATTTTGAAAAAAGGACAGTCATGGGGAATGAATTGGTAGAGACAGCAAAAGATTATTTCAACATTCCCTTTATTATAATGGCTTTTGTCCCTAAGGAGAAAGGTCCTGGATCCAAAGGAGAGAATAAGGATTCAGCTTTACTTAAGCTATTGGCTGTTTACTCATTTACTTAAGCTTATATGTTTTTACTCAGTGTAGAAGTAACAGTCCTTTCTTGTCTTCTTCATTTTATTGACTTGGCACCACAGATATGGGAATGCTACTTGACTTGCTAAGGCTTTTAAAGCATTTTTTAAAAATTTAAACTTTAAACCTGTTTTGTGAGTTTGAGTTATTAAAACTGTGCTCATCCTCCCTACTTTAAATTGTCCAGTGGACCATACTTATTTTTATGTTAAAGTATTTCTCCTTTCTAAGGCATTTTGGCTGGGAAGTAGAAATGTGTCTGATTATGTGATGTGAAGAGTTACTTCTTTCTGTTGATGGCTCCTTGTAGTTTTAAGGTACTACACATTTCTATAGTTAACTATGAATATATATATATATATATATATATATATATATATATATATATATATATTTCAGCACAGTTAAAAACATTCTACCTCCCACACATGAATTCAGATGACTGGTTTTAGTAGTTTAATTAAAAACTGTGAGATTAATGACATAATGAATCTATCACTAGGGAGATTTTTTAGATTGGATCTGCTTAATTTTAATCACAGTGTTGACTGGTTGCTTAATTGTAAAAATGTGCTAGAATTCAATAGCCTCCTTTCTTACATTTTGGAAGAAAAAATCAGTTTTGGAAAGCTGAATATTTACAATAAGGAATTAATAAGAATTCCAAGAAGATATAGAGTCAAAATACTTAGATAATGGGATGAACTTTAAGCAATCATATCTTTCCTTAACTATTTGTATATAGCATTTTTCCAAACTCTATATATAAACAGGCCACAACACAAGAACTGAAAAATAGAAATTCCAGTAAGACAAACATGTCTGGTTACTGTGAGAAACTTTTAATAATTGGCGTAAGCCTAAATTGCAAAATTAGAAACACTAAAATTAAAGACAATGAGACTAAAAAAGTAAGTAGAAAAATTATAAGACAAAGAAAATGTAAAAGATTTGATACAGTTCAGGTGTCAGTGCAGCTAAAGAGATTGAAAAGTAATATTGGCCAATTTATTTTCTGACTCTTAGCTATATGAACACAATGACAAATAGGCAGAAACCTTTAGTAC